TCTACCATTGAAGTGCCCCCGTCCTCCTTTAAATCCTCTTTTAGTCCAGGGTGTATGAATAAGGTGTAATACTTATTCCTTGCTCCAGCAGGCGCTCTCACTTCATGCAGTCCTGCATAGCCTCCTCTCTAAGTCTAGGTTCACACTTAAGCATTTTGTGGAACCGCACAGCAGTCCATTTAACATGATTTCCTATGGGACACATTCACATCTCCGCGTTTTCACTTTGTGCGTTTTTTGGAAAGGGTCAGGGACTTTTTTAAATGCAAAATGTGTTTTTGGTTATATACACCTCAATGGAGATGCTGTAGAAAAGCAGGTCGTGCGTTTTTGATGCGTTTTTAGTCTGCCTCGCAACAAAAAAAAACCCCAAAAAACGCATCAAACGCATGTGCCAAAGCATACTGCTTAAATGCAAACTGCATAGGTGTGAACCTAGCCTAAGGTGGTTTGGGCCCTTGTTGGAAGTTTATCTATTCACATACAACACAGGGTTAATAGCACATGATGACCCCAGGGTATCGCCCACAGCTTAGTGCTTCGGGTGGAGGAAAACCGTGCTGGACTGAGGGATAGTGTAATACAGCTTATCCCTTCACCACCTGGACTAAACATGCATTTAATCTTTGCAGTGGGGCGTTTACTAGAGTAGATTTTATCCAATTCCCAGAGTTCAGCTTTAAATGGTTTTATTGAAACTGTGTTCTTATAGTGTTTGGTATGTTCTCTGATTTATTGTAGGTGATCGGTGAACGGAGAAGAGTCCGAAAATCCTATGTTGTAGAAGGTAAGTTGTCCGTCTGATCTTGTGTTCTTCTGAAAGGTATGAAAGCAGCAAAATGATGTTGTAGTATACTATGAAATGTAACAAACTGTAACAGCATTTGTCCCTCCTCTGGTGCTGTAAAGACCCAGGCTATCCTTTTGTGTGATTTCTTTTTCCCTCTAATGCAGGCCATAGATGGGTCGAAAATCGGCCGATTTGTCGGCCGAAAATAAAATCGGCCGATTTTCGGATCGTTAGTGGGCGATTTGGTCGGCCGTTTTTCGGGATTTTGGCCGTTTTTTTTTTTTTTTGGTAAAGTTGGAAAAAAAATCAGCCGATCGGCCGATTTTCGCGGCATTAATGGGCCAATCGGCCGTTTTTTTACCGATAAAAAATCTGCGCATGAGCATTGACCTGCAAGAGGAAGACAAAAAAAGAAGAGGAAGAGGATGCAGAAGAGGATGAAAAAGAGGATGAAGAAGAAGAAGAAGAGGATGAGGAAGAAGAGGATGAGAAGAAGAGGATGAGGAGAAGAGGATGAGGAAGAAGAGGATGAGGGAAGAGGATGAGGAAGAAGAGGATGAGGAAGAAGAGGATGAGGAAGAAGAGGATGAGGAAGAAGAGGATGAGGGAAGAGGATGAGGAAGATGAAGAGGAAGAAGAGGATGAAGAAGAGGATGAGGAAGAAGAGGATGAGGATGAGAGAGAGAGGATGAGGAGGAGGATGAAGAAGAAGATGAGGATGATGAAGAAGAAGATGAGGATGAGGAAGAAGATGAGAAGAATGATGAGGATGAGAAGGAAGAGGATGAGAAGAAGATGATGAGGATGAGGATGATGAAGAAGAGAGGAAGATGATGAAGAAGAAAGAAGAGGATGAGGATGAGGATGAGGATGAAGGATGAGGATGATGATGAGGATGATGGAGTTGATGAGGATGAGAGGATGAAGAGGATGAGGAGATGATGAAGAAGAGGATGAGGAAGAAGAAGAGGATGAGGAAGAAGAGAGGAAGAGGAAGAAGAAGAGGATGAGGAAGAGGATGAGGATGAGGAAGAGGATGAGGATGAGGAAGAAGATGAGGATGAGGAAGAAGATGAGGATGATGAAGAAGAGGATGAGGATGATGAAGAAGAGGATGAGGATGATGAAGAAGAGGATGAGGATGATGAAGAAGAGGATGAGGATGATGAAGAAGATGAGGATGATGAAGAAGATGAGATGATGAAGAAGAAGTAGGAAAATAAGAAGAATTCCAGTCCAGCAAAAAGTATCTCTGCAGAGAGCTCCGCTATTTCTGACAGTTCTCTGACAGTTCTTTGACATTTACAGCGGTTGAAACATTGTATCTATTTGTTTCCGAATAAAAACATCTGTATCCTAAATGGAAACAAATAGATACAATGTTTCAACCGCTAAATGTGAAGGAACTGTCAGAAATAGCGGAGCTCTCTGCAGGGACACTTTTTGCCAGCTGTAGAAGGGATGAAAATCGGCCGATTTTTTTTTTTTTTTTTTTACCATTGATGGTAACGTCGGCCGCTTGAACGACCGAATTTTCGTTTTTTAAAAGAAAAATCTGCCGTTTTTTCTCCCCATCTATGGCCTGCATAAGACGTAACCAAATTTATTGCTGGGTTGCAGTACCAAGCTTATAGTAGTCAGCAGTAGAAATGCACATGTTGCGAACACTGCAAACATCACACATTGGCACATATATAGGCAGACGTTTTGCAGAAACCTTTCCAAAACTTCAGTTGCAAAAGGAGATGCAAATTGGTTAAAAACTGCAGGTTTCATATACCCCATGAGAGGCTTGTGATTTCCCCTCCACCTGCAATGCATTTACTCCTGTAGTCCTGTCTTTACTCAAACCATGCCAGCTAATTTTATGTTGCAGCTCCCAGATTTCCATTTTTTTTTTTTTTTTAGATATTTTCATTTGGATCTTTTTAAAATATACAGTTCATTCATAAAGTATACAGGCACCCTTCACTTTTTTTCACTATTATGTTGCAGGCTGATACTACAGTTGTTTACTTTTTTTTTTTTTTTCTCTTCAATCTACACAGAAAAACAGAATTTTAGAAATGTCTGTGAATTTGTTAAAACTAAAAAACTCTGAAATATCACATGTACTTAAGTATTCAGACCCTTCACCCTAGGTTCATACCTAAGCATTTTGCAGAAATGCAGTACAGTCCATTTAACATGATTTCTTATGGGACATATTCACATCTCCGCGTTTTCATCTGGTGCATTTTTGGAAAGGGTCAGGTACTTTTTTTGAACGCAAAAAGTTGCGTTTTTAGTTCTATAGACTTTAACGGAAATGCTGCAGAAAAACATGTAGTGCTTTTCTGACATGTTTTTGATGCGTTTTGCATTTTAAATCTGCCGAGCAACAATAAAAATGGGGGGGGGGGGAGCAAAACGCGTCAGCACACAGGTGCAAACGCAATGTAGAAACAGGTCAAAAGCAACCTCTGTACTTTGTTGAAGCACCTTTGGCAACAATTACAGCCTCAGGTCTTTTGGGTATGATGCCACAAGCTTTGCACACCCGGATTGGGGGATTTTCTGCCATTCTTTGCAAATCCTCTCAAGATAAGTCAGGTTGGATGAGGACAGTCGGTGGACAGCTATTTTCAGGTCCCTCCAGAGATGTTCAATAGGGTTCAAGTCAGGGCTCTGGCTGGGCCACTCTAGGACATTTACAGAGTTGTTCCTAAGCCACTCCTGTGTTGTCTTTGCTGTGTGCCTAGGATTATTGTCATGTTGGAAGGTGGACCAATCTGAGGTCCTGAGCACTGTGAAAGAGCTTTTCATTGAGGATCTCTTTAATTTGCTCCATTCAGCTTTCCCTCAACCCTAACAGTCCCTGCTGCTGTACACCCCCACAGCATTATGCTCCCACCACCATGCTTCACTGTTGGGATGGTATTGGGCAGGTGATGAGTGGTGCCTGGTTTCCTCCAGACATAATGTTTAGACTTGAGGCCAAACAGTTCAATCTTGGTGTCACCTGACCAGAGAATCTTGTTCCTCACAGTCTGAGAGCCTTTCAGGTGCCTTTTTTTTTAAGCAAAGTCCAGTCGTGCTTTCATGTGTTTTTAAACTGAGGAGAGGTGTCTAGTCACTCTGCACTAAAGCCCAGATCGCTGGAGGGTTTCAGTGATAGTTGTCCTTCTAGAACCTTGTCCCATCTCCACACAGGATCTCTGGCGCGCCGTCGGTGAACATGGGGTTCTTGATCACCTCTCTTACGAAGGCCCTTCTCCCCCAATTATTCCCTTTGGCCGGGAAGAGTCCTGGTTGTGGCTTACTGTTGCCATTTGAGAACTAAGGGAGGACACTGTGCTCTTGGGAACCTTCAGTGCAGCAAACAAATTTTTCTAGCCTCTTCCAGATCTGTGACCGTAATCCTATCTCTGGGCTCTGCAGCCAGTTTCCCTGAGCTCATGGTGTTTGCTCTGAAATTCATTGTTAGCTGTGAGGCCTTTTACAGAGAGGTGTGTACCTTTCCAAATCATGTCCAATCAATTTAATTTACCACAGGTGGAATCCAATCAAAGTGTAGAAGCATTTCAGCAATTATCAAGAGAAATAGGAGATAACTGAGCTAAATTTCAAGTGTTGTTGCAAAGGGTTTGGACATTTATGCCAATGTGATATTTCAGTTTGTTTTTTTCATACATCTGCGGACATTTTTTTAGAATTTTTTTGCTTTTTCATCATGGGGCACGAAGTGTAGAATAGTGAGGAAAAAAAAAGAATTTAAACAACTGTAGTATTAGGCTGCAACATAAAATTGCAAAAAAAAAAAAAGAGGGAGGGGGGTCTAAATACTTTATGAATGCACTGTAATCACTACAGCCTTGTTCAGGAAAAAAAAAAAAAGTATGAAACGTGTTGTTGCAGAGGACATCTTGGGCTGCAGGATTTCCAAATTTTGGCTAGAGGATTCTCAGTTACCCAGTGAAAAGAGCATCACTTGATGTCATCATGTAAGATTTTTTTAGAGAGGGCACCCAGAATATGTAGTGTCTAACCGCCTGCAGCTTGAGATGTCTAGGGGAGAAAATTATTGCTTGGTACCTCTAACTCACCCATTTCTAAGATCAAAGGCTATCCGGGGGGACAGTGAGAGTGTTTGTTTCTTTCTGAATTTTGTGCTCATCCATATTATGTTACAGAACTGAAAGCTGCTGCCAGCATTCCATCCAAAAAGACTATGGGCATCTCTAACGACATGATTCTGTATGTTCGTCACATGGTGGAAAACTATGGTGAAGACTACAAGGTACCAAACATATGACTATACTAAATCTGTTACACCTTTTGTGTTTGGATAGAGTAGAAAAGCATGTTAGGTTTTTATTTTAATCCATCTGTGTCCCAGTAAGGTGGATTTCCACTCACTTCTTATCCATTAGGAAATGAGACAAAAATCTCTCCAAAATAAGGGAAATCCCTTCTTAAACAGTTGTCACTAGAATAACTGTCCCATGGAAGGATTTCCTCCCTATTCATGTGAACCCAACATTTCAAATTCTCCCTATGTGCCTGCTGCGCCGTGTCCTTGTATGAAAACATCCTGTTTTTTGTATTAATCCCTGGTGTTCCTGCCAGTCCCTTTTGCTTTCCTATTACACTGACTGCACTAAGCATAAGCACAGCGTGGTCAGTTCTTTAGCTGTGCTGGGAACAGAAGGTATGTGATCACGTATAAAAAGGAAAAACTGGTAATATATATATTTTTGTGTGTGTATCTCTCTATCCATACACAAATGTTTTGCCTTTCATTTCTATGTGTTTAATTTTTTTTTTTTTTGAGCAGTGTTTTAAACTGAATGGTTTGTTTTACAAACACTTTTTGAGCAGAGTGTGGCATCAAGTCAGTTAAACTCCTGGGATATCGATCTGGTCAGTTAAGTAGCAGGGGGGGGTTGATAATCAGGTTCAGCTGCTTTTGCTGTTAATGAAATTAACAGGTGCACTAGGTGCGCAACAATGAGATAACCCCAGAAAACAGGAATGGTTTTACAGGTGGAGGCCACTGACATTTCTTTTCCGACTCATCTTTTCTGACAGTTTTTCACTAGTTTTGCATTTGGGTAGGGTCAGTGTCACTACTGGTAGCATGAGGCGATACCTGGACCCTACAGAGGTTGCACAGGCAGTCCAACTCCTCCAGGATGGCACATCAATATGTGCGATTGCCAGGTTTGCTGTGTCTCCCAGCACAGTCTCAAGTGCATGGAGGAGATTCTAAGAGACAGGAAGTTACTCTAGGAGAGCTGGACAGGGCAGTAGAAGGTCCTTAACCTATCAGCAGGACCGGTATCTACTACTTTGTGCAAGGAGGAACAGGATGAGCAATGCCAGAGCCCTACAAACTGACCTCCAGCAGCCACTGGTGTGAATGTCTCTGACCAAACAATCAGACTTCATGAGGGTGGCCTAAGGTCCTCTAGTGGGCCCTGTGCTCACTGCCTGGCACCATAGAGCTCAATTGGCATTTGCCATTGAACACTAGAATTGGCTGGGTCCACCACTGGCACCCTGTGCTTTTCACAGATGAGAGCGGGTTCACCCTGAGCACATGTGACAGACTTGAAAGGGTGTGGAGAACATTATGCTCCCTGTAACATCATTCAGCATGACCATTTTTGTTGGTGGGTCAGTGATGGTCTGGGGAGGCATATCCATGGAGGGACGCACAGACCTCTACAGGATAGACAATGGCACCCAGACTGCCATTAGGTATTTGGATGAAATCCTTGGACCCTTTGTCAGACCCTACGCTGGTACAGTGGGGTCTGGGTTCCTCCTCGTGCATGACCTCATGTGGCGAGAGTATGCAGGCAGCTCCTGGAGAATGAAGGTATTGATACCATTGAAATGGCCCCCCATGCGTTCCTGACCTAAATCCAATAGAATACCTCTGGGATATCAGGTTTTGGTGCATCTGCTGCTGCCAGGTTGCACCTCAGACTGTCCAGAAGCTCAGTGATGCCCTGCTCCAGATCTGGGAGGAAATTCCCCAAGACACTATCCATAGTTTCATTATAGCGGCATGCATACAAGCACATGGGGACCATACAAACTATTGAGTGCCATTTTGAGTTGCTGCAGTGATATTTCAGCAACATTGACTAGAATGCTGCATTTTTTTTTTTTTTTTCCCACGGTCTTTAATTGAAACAAAAATTATCAACCTACACTGGACTGAATTCAAAGGATGGGGCATCCTTACGTTCCTAACACATTACCCAGTCCATATCAGTATTTTTATTTTTTTTCCCCCCCCCCATTGAGATCTGATGTGTTTTCAAAGTGTTGCTTTTAATTATTTTTAGCAGTATATATACTCCTGTGTTCATTGATTACTTGAATTTCAAGCAACCTACTACACCTAGCATAGATATGTATTGGGACTAGGAAGTTGATTTAAAAAAAAAAAAAACTCAATTTTCAAAGTTAATTTCTGATAATAGAGCACCTGCTGTAAACAAATGTATGCATTGAATGGCAGAAAACTCATCTTTGGATACAGTTTTGCTAAAAGAATGTCTAAGCTGGCTTGTAGGTGACAGACTTTTTTTTTTTTTTTTTTGTTCTTTTCACTTTATCATTCTTCTGTGTAGGCAATGGCTCGTGATGAGCAGAATTACTACCAGGACACACCCAAACAGATAATGCGTAAAATCAACCTGTACAAGCGACATCACCCACAGGAGTACGAGGCTCTGCTTACATCAAGAACAAAACAGTAACAAACTGTAGAGCATGCTTCTATGCAGACTCTGATATGGCCTGTGATTTGAGCACAGACCTTTTCCAACCATCATTGATGTGTTTTAGTTATGGACAGAAATAAAAGTGGCTGCAACCTCAGTTACCCCAAGGCCCATCCTGACATCAGGTAGAGCCGTGACTAAATGATCTTATAATTAATGTATTTTTATATGTATTTGTAACATTAAATAAGGACAGTGGCAAAGTAACATTTTTATTATATTGTGTATAAACATTGTAATTCTTATAAAATAAGTTATCAGCAGTAGATTGGCATATTGCCGAAAAGGCAAGAGGTTGGAGCAGGGACCAGCCCTCACATCCTATCACCTCTGAGAGGGCATCTTATGCATGGCTTTTGTCAGTCCTCCAGTACTAACTCAGTCCACAAATTAGTAGCAGGACAAGTCTACATATCCGTTATGCACTTTTCTCTCTTTCAAATGAGGTTTGCCAGCAGCTGTTTTGCAGCGGTATGATATTTTGCTGTGATCCTCTAACTTGGTGTAGTCGTTCTTCAAGCAGTGACCTCACCATCTGTAAACTGGTACTCTGACCAAATCCATTGCAAACAGCACTAGTTCCCAGTAACATCACCTCCCTTTGGCCCTGGATTCGATGCAATGATAACTCTGAGTGAATAGCAGAAATATCAAGTGCTGACTGACAATCCTAATGAAAAAGGGAAGAAAAAGTCTGATATTAGAGCAGAACATGCTGTATAAATATTCAGCCATTTCACTCCATGAAAATTTTATCCAACAGTCTCAGCACATTTAAATGTGATGTTTGTATCCTCTCAAATGTCCATTATGCCCAGCCATCAAGAGTTATCTTTAGCATAATGAATAACACTAAAGACTTTTTTTGAAAGGGTAAGAAACTGTTGGGATTCAGACACCAGTAACCACCTAACGGTGAGATCCAGTCTTTGCCTTGGTGCCCCTTTTTTTGATGCCTCAGTACTACCTGCTCTCATACCACAAACTGTCCATTGGCATTGGGTATTGACTTTATATTCAGTAAAGTGGTTACCTCCACATTTTTTATAAAAACAGGGCAAAAAAAAAAAAAAAGTGAATCAAATAGTGCTTCTTACATAGACTTCCATCCCACCAGCAGGTGGAGCTCTAGTCTCCTTTTTACATATTTAAATTCTGTAAAACAAGCTATATGGCTAAATAAGTCATCAGTGTAGGGCTGACGCAAATGTTTTACCCCCTAAATCAATTTTCAGGTCTCAGAAAAACCCTGTCAAGAAATGTTATCAGGGGCCAGTGGAATAAGGTGCCTTACAGAGATGGTGGCCAGGATGCCACCCTTAGAGCTTAAAAGATCTTTGGTATCGTGGCACTAGCTTTGCCACCCAGAACCATCAGATATGAATCTAAATTCTGATCTGATAATTCATCAGCTGAAGCTCAAGGAACCAACCTCTAGAGCAGGGGTGGGCAAACTGTAGTCAGTCAACTGTTGCAGAACTGCAAGTCTCATCATGCCTCGGAGTACCTGTCTGTCCTCCCATCATGCCTCTGGGAGTCGTGATTGTCACTCTTGCAATGCCTGATGGAACATATAGTTCCACAACAGCTGGAGGGCTGCAGTTTTTCAGTTCTGCTCTGGAGGAACCCTGGTTGAGAAGTACAAGATTTCTATCAGAGGCACTAATGCAACCTTCTGCTGTCTATAATTTAATGTGAAAAAGAGATTCCCAAAGTGCTATGGGTTAGACAAAGCAGGAGAAACATTTACAGTGGAATTCCAGCTCAGCCCTAAATTACACAAAGCTGTAATGCAATACCTATGCTAACCTGTGTAAAAAAAAAAAGTGTATATACTTTTTCTTGCCATTTACAGTCCTTTCGTGTGATATGGCTCCCCTATGTCAGCCAGCACAGCTTCAGGGGGGAGAGCAGGAAGCACCAATAACAAATGGGCCATTGAAGCCTATGGGAGACATCTCTGTTCCAGGCTTTACTAGCCATTGCTGGAGAAGTCTCTCCTTTTGCCTGCAGCCGCTGGCTGACATAGGGAACTCACATGACTGGAGTGAGCTGAAAATAGGCAAGTATGTACAGTTTTTAATGCCTCGAAAAGGACCATCACTGTATGGTACGAGGAGGGAAAACAAAAGTTTTACATAGGACACACAAATGTCACTTTTACGGTTTCTCTCTACTACAGTTGAATTTCAGTAGGAATGGTCCTGTCACAGTGTAACATGTTCTAATGTTATCTAAAAAATAGGTGACACTAGACAGGTGCTTTGCAACATTTACTAAATCTGTTTTAAAATATTTGTAATTAGCAACACCATACCACAGCACTAAAGCATGAACCAACTATCTAGCCTAAAATCCTTTCATTATCCTTAGGGCCCTTTGTACTAAGTCACTTATAGGCCAATGCTAAGCAAAAAAAAAAAAAAAAATGTATCTATCACACACCTATTCACACCAGGGTGGTTTGTATTGGTATGTTTTCATTTTATGTCAGAAGGGACCCAAAAAAAAAAAAAAAAACCTTCTGCACTTTTGTTGCAGTGGTGTGCCATTTACAAAGCATAGAACTATAATGTGCATTACTGCAGTACAGTGGTGTGAAAAGGCCCCAACAAAAGAAAGTAGCACAGACACATTTGCCATTTGTTTTTTTTTTTTCTTTCATCTGGCCACTACTTGCACCTTCAGTTCAGGTACTGTATTTGCTCACCATTGGTTAGACAACAAAAATACATACAAAAAAAACGGTTATGGTTTTGCACACAGGCTTCAGGTTGTATAGGAGCAGTGTGTACAGCAAGTTTTGCCACCCCTGAGACTGAGGTAGAGAATCGGAGGTCACAACTTGGCATTATTCTATAGTACAGCAATAAAACTGCAATTTACTATATCGGCTATTAGATACGATATGCACTGACCAAGGAAATGTATGTACGATTCTCAGAGGCAGTTGGGGAAATCTAAAACTGGAACAACTGTGCATAGTAACCAATCCACGTCTAAGTTTTATTGTTAAAGATTAATTGAGCAAGCTGACATTAAAGCTGGTTGGTTACTATGCACTATCTGTGCTCCCGTGTTAATAAATCTTAATGTGCCACCATTACATCTAAATAAAACATAATTAGGGGTTGATGAAAAAAAGTGAGGACTTTTTGTATATGTAGACTGAAAAAGGAATGTTAAAAAAAAAAAAAAAAAAAAAAAAGTGTGTACACATTGTCTTTATAGTATAATATAAAATATGCATATTACTGTGCAGTCTTAGATTTGGCCAGCAGGTAGAGCTCTTGGCTCCTGTTCACATTTTTCTCCCTGCACTTTGTTATAGTAAGCCCATTTACAGACCTCACTAGCTCCAGCTGACGTTTACACAGTCAGCAAAGTAAGTCATCCCTTACTGGGCAGCTTTGCCCATTGTTTCAAGACAAAGCAAACCTCAAAGCAGGCAGCTTCTACTGCGCTGTCTCTATAGCTAACCCATGGTGTTTTGGGAAGCATTTGGCATTTTTTTTTTTTCAAACAAAAAGGATATTATGTATAGTAAATGTTTTTTTTTTTTTTTTTTTTTTTTTTTTTTAAATAGACACCCAGCCATTATATTTTCATTGTAAAACTGAACTCCAGGCAGAAATAAAAAGATCCAAATGAATGCAGTGACAGAAGACCAAAGCATCCCTTTTTGTAAACCACACACTATTATAGACATATCACAGCAAAGCAAAAAACCAGCCAATATTTACCTGCTTGTTTGCTAGGACCATCAGTGGCAAGTGTGATGCCTCTTCCAAAAGCCGATGCAGTTCTCGTCTAGCCAGCTGCAGGCGCTTGTCATCCGTGGAATCCACAACAAAAACCATTATATGTGCATTCTTCAGGTACTGGTTCCAGTATGTCCTAAGGTTCTGACTACCACCTACTGTGGAGGGAGGAGATAGATAATATTACAGTATAGAACAGGTGCCTGCAGATCCCATAACCCTGGTTCCATGTTGTTTGAAATTTTGTAACACAATATTAAATTTTCTAACTATTATTTTGTGTATTGTAACAAGATATTACATTTTCTCATAGGGCCCTGCAACTGGCAAGGATGGATGTAATAAAACAAATTATAGGGCCCATTTACTAGAATGCATACAGAAACTATCTTGCATTCTTGTCAGGGCAGTAAAAATAACTCTGCCCTCTTGAATTTTGAGGTCCCCACTGGTGGCTTGAATTTTGACATTTCTGCTGAAATCGGCACAAAACCAGAGCTATGAGTTGCCCTGCAAGTACCACCCAGCTCCACAAAAGTGGATTTAAAAGGCTAAGTTCACCATTTAAAAAAAAAATAAAAAAATACACATTTGTGCAGGCAATTTGTTTTGCAGGTGCATTTATTTATTTTAAAGAGGCCTGCAGAGCACTGAACCTATGAACAGCAGATCGTGGGTGCAACCTCAGGCTCCTGCAGCCTCTCAGGATAGCTGTCTGCTCTTACCTGAGAGCAGGAAGATCAATGTACTACCATAGTGCTCACCAGTGCCATTGCAGTTTTGAGAACTACAAGCAGTCAGCTGCAATGGCTGATGGTACTTGTCTATCCATTCACAGGAAACTAAAAGAATAAATGCAACGGCCGTATGGGCAGAGCCCCGCACTGTCACACGGTTTTCAAATTGAAGGAGGGAGGCTGCAGATGCTGGAACATGTAACATTTTCCAAAGGTGACCTTATTCTTTAAAAGAATAAATAAATCTACTGGAGGCAAATTATTGGCCAAAACAGTGACTGCAATCTATCAGCTGCAGTCACTGTGACAACTGTGGTTACTATGGGTGCCTAAATACAATGGATATTTTCTCATCCACACGGTTACTGTGTACGGGGGTATGCTGACCACTGAGTACCACTATCCGGGAATGCACCGAGCACGAACCACTATTGTAAGGTGGTCGCGCTGAAAATTGACCACTGATGGAAAGGGGGGGGGGGGGGGGGAAACGCTGAGCACGAACCACTATTGTAAGGTGGTCGTGCTGAAAATTAACCACTGAGGGAAGGGGGGGGGGGGAAAACGCTGAGCACTGACCATCAGTTAGGGGACGGAATGAATGCTGACCCCCCCCCCCCCCCCCAGTGTGTATGGGGGCATACTGCGTGAAGGTAGCAGACTGACCATTAGTGCAAGATGACACCTAATCCTGACCACTGCTCTCCGCTAGCTGTGCAACTACAGCTTGACTGCTGCACTGTATACTCTACATAAACTTTTTTTTTTGTTTTTACTGCTGGAGCATGGAAGATTTTTAAAAGAAATGTACTTTTACTTTATTTAAACATGCTTTTTAATCACTGTAATAGCAGCTGTGAAGCACTCAAGTGGCACTAGTTGGAATGGGGTTACAATTCCCTTACAGCAGGCATGTCCAAAGTTGGGCCCGCGGGCCATTTACGGCCCGGGGGTCGGTTTAATACGGCCCTCCAACAGCCCTCCCTGCTCTGTGTAATGTGGCCCTCCCACGGCCCTCCCTTCTATGGCAGACAGTCTTCTGCTTGAGAGCAGAGGGCAGTCCGCATGCCTGACTGCGGCGCGTTCTCCCTGGTCTGTGTAAATGCGGCTGTCCCACGGCCCTCCCTTCTGTGGCAGACAGTCTTCTGCTTGAGAGCAGTGTGCATGCGTGACTGCGCCGCGCTGGGAGTGACAGAGGGCGGTGATGTCAGGGCCGGGCTTCCAGCGTGAAGTGTGTTTCTCTTCCCCTCCCGGCTGCCGAGCAGAGACTTCAGCTCCAGCTACCTTTTTCACCCTTCACATTAGTGCAGGTAAGTTTTTTTTTAAATTTATTTTAAATACATTGTGAAAACTCAGCTGTCAGTTGATCTTAATGTTATGAAATGAAAAGTATGTCGTTTGCAATTAACTTGGCATAAAATAATTTATTTGCATTTAATTGTAATGGTTCAAAGAATGTTCGGAAAAATGTTCGGCCCTCCACCATGTTCACTTCATCCAATCTGGCCCTCTTTGAAAAAAGTTTGGACACCCCTGCCTTACAGCAAACTTGCCTGCCTTCCTGCAAATAGTAGCAAAGAATAAAAACTAACAATCTTACAATGAAACAAATGTTTCCAGTCTAGATAACAAAATATCATTGTGGTAGAAAGCAGAGTAAACATCTGGGAAGGGCTTGGCTCTGCCTCATGCATTCCAAATGGGTGACAAAACAATCGCCTGCGCTTGGAAGTTGGCTCAGATAACAGGTGGTATTCTTCCCATCCTGGCTTTAACAGTCATGCCTTGCTGCCCTTTTAAGACTGGGGAAGTCTGGATCACTATAATCATGAAACAGAAAACTGCCTCATGGACACTGACAGACATCCTGGACATTTTTCTTTCTGGCAGCAAAAAAAGTGCTTGACGCTGGTAAATGTGTACTGCGTTTACCCACGTCAAGCACATGGGCGTTTTATTCATTTCATTGGCCAGAATACATTTTGGTCATTGAAATGAAGAAAAAAGAAAAGCCCAAACACGCCTAGTGATTACATGTTTTTTGCCGTGTTTGACAGTTCTGTCAAAACACTCCTCTGCTGAATGTGATTCTTCTGCATTTTATGGCCTGTGAGTGCTGCTGCTCCTGAACTCAGGTAAATGCATGGACACATGGCTTTTAAAAAAGTAACATTGAAAGGTTTGTTTTTTTTTTCTGTTCAAAATAAAACATGCCATATGTAACTGCACAGAGCATCCCTGATCCTTTTCTTCTGGGATCCCCCACTGGCATTGCTAACTTCTCTTTAGCAGGCACTAACACAGGAAGAAGCTTCCTATACGGCACTTTTGGGGGCTCGCTCCCAAGCTGCCTTGTCTGCATCTATTGACACAGGGCAGCTCAGCCTACCCCATCATCACAGAAATTGATTGACAGCAGCTGGTATCAATCTGTACAGTGAGGTGTGAGAGCTGGAAGAGCTGCTGCATACACATTGCTGGATCTGGTTCAGGCAAGTATAAGGGGGGGCACAAATGCAGCGCAGAGGTTTTACCTTCATGCATAGAATGCATGAAGGTAAAAACCCCTAAGGCTTTACAACCACTTTAAAAGTTGAGTTCAGGGGCTAGGGGGGGGGGAAAAAAAAAAAAAAAAAAAAAAAAAAAAAGAGATAGCTATAGAGGTAGATTCAAGGAAACCTACACAGTGAGAGAAACATTCGCTGACTGCTGAATTTTCCTTTTGAGAATCCCAGTTGCCTTGCAGTCACCAACCCACAAGTACACAGATCAAGAGTTTTAACTGTACTTGATACCTGCATGTTCCAGATCAGGGTCTCAAATTAAAACTAAAAGATAGCAAGTTTCTCTTAATAGAAGTCTCCTATAAAGGCTAATCAAGAACAAGGAACTTTGACTTTCAGCCAGAAGTTTGTAAAAGGTCTGAGGAGAAAGTCTCTCTTGTCCCATTAATTCTGCCAATGGTGGCATATGGAGATATGCATGTAGGGTCCTGGTGCCCACCCTGTGGCCCTTTGGGACATGCTGTGTGGCACTTGGCAGGTCCCAGCAGTCAGTAAGGGAAGCAATGATTTGTAAAAAGGCATTAACCACTTCCCGTCCAGCCGTTGTATATAAACGACCGGACGGTGGCAGTGCAGGGCCTCCCCGCCCCCTGCTCGCAGCACCACGATCCGGTGCCTGCTGTGTCTTCCAGACACAGTGGAACACCAATCGTCGTACGGGACCTCTCTGCGAGGTACCGATCATGTGATCACGGATTGGCCAATCCGTGATCACATGCAGAGTAGTAAGCAAGATGTCACTTCTGACATAATTGCTTACTACTAGTGAAATCTGTGCATGATCACAGAGGTCACATGGTAGAAGGCTATTCACAGCAGCCTTGTACCATGTGACAAGCTGTGACCAATCACTGCTCCCACAGTTCTCAATGGCTGCAAGAATGCAGCCAGAGAGAAGGAGAAATGATTGCTTTTACAGCCTTTATGGGTGTAAAAGCAATCAGTGTTAAAAAAAAAAAATAAAAAATTAAATTATAATTTTTGGTTATAAAATAATTTTTTTTTGTACTAAAAAGATAAAAAAAACGGAATAAATTTTGGCCAAGATTTGATGAAATATTATTTATTTTCAAAAATGTTATAAGAAAAACACTTAAAAATTTTTGGACTTTTTCATTTAAATAGCAAAAGAAATAAAAATCCCAGTGGTGAATAAATACCAAAATAAAGCTTTATCTGTCTCAAAAAAAATGCAAAAAAATTCATATGGGTACAGTGTTGCATGACCGGGCAATTGTCATTCAAAGTGTGATAGCGCTGAAAGCTAAAAATTGGCCTGGGCAGGAAGGGGGTAAAAGTGTCCGGACTGGAAGTGGTTACAGTGATCTCTAGTAGTCTCATTTACCATGTCCTGTAGTGTATTTCACACTCCAAGAACCCATGTTGCATGTCTACAGTCTCTGGTAATCTCCCCTAGTATGTATGACAGTCTTCTGTAAACTGAACATTAGGTATGTGGCCCTTTCGAGCTTTCAGAGGCCACAGTTGAGAAAGCCCACTCCTTGTATGTTGACAGCCACTGACAGGGCCTCTACCAACCACTCCTAATAAATTCTAGTTACCTTGTTATTGTACTAATCTAGGGCAAGCTTTCCTCCTAAATCCCACTCCTAGCATAAATCCTCCCTCCTAGCACAAATCTCCTCCCCCAAATCCCCACTCCTAGCACAAATCCTCTCCCTTGAATCCCCAGAATAAATCTTAACCTCCAAATCCCTACTCCTAAAAAGGGATTTTTACCCCCTTACTCCTCCCTCCTAGTACAAATCTCCCCCCAAAATCCCCACTCTTAGCATAAATCCCCCCCCCCCCCCTCCAAGTAGCCCTACTAGCACAGATTCCCCCATTCCCATTTTCAGAACAAACAGCTCCTCCATAAGCCCCCCCCCCCCTCCATTCCTACATGCAGGAACTATAAGAGTAGTGACGAGGTGCAGACTCTGCTTTCCCCCCTCCTGTATACAGAGCTTCAGATTACACAGGATTGCCCTTACATCAGACCGTACACGGCTTGATTACCTGCCCTCTGCCCACATTTCTGAGAGATGATCAGCTTTGGAGGAGATAGAGGGCAGGCGATTACACAGAATCACTCTTAACTTGAACGGTACATGGCTTAATCTGCTGTTCAGAGGAGCGCTCCACTGACAGGAATGGAGAGAGCTTAGAGGGCTTGCACCTCCTCCCAGCTCTTTCCTCTCTGCCACTGACACCTCTGTCCCCCACCCCTTGTTCCAGCCCTTGCAGGGATTGGGGGCCCAGGCGTCGGGAAACAATTTCTGGTCACCATGGTGACCTGGGATGTATCGATCCCTGTGCTAATCCAAAGGATTCCGAACTTTCAATTACATACCCAGAACATTTCCATAAATTAGGTGTTCCGACTTCACTGGCTGCATGCTTGCTTCAGGTCAGCTTTTACTACCAAAGCCAGAAACCGCAAGACAACCATTTTTCATAGGTTGACAGCATTGGCAGCCTACATATTTCACTCAGTACAGGTCTCCTCTCTTGTTCACACCAGTGTGCAGAGATGTCAGTTTTTCTGCATGCGTTCTGCAAGGGCACAATGAAATCAATTGTTCTCACACACACCACTAGTATCAGGTGCAGATTTTTTTTTATGCACAGGAATCTGCAAACATGTAAAAAACTCATTGAAGCGTGCATGAAAACTGATGTAAGCTGATGTCTCTGCAAGTGAAATCTGTGTGTCAGTTTCCATCAGTTTTTCTGCACATATGGTGTGACCAAGGCCTTAAAAAAAAAAAAAAAAAAAAAAAAAAAAAAAAAAATTGCTTGCTCTTTTACCATTAGCCGCCCGGCCAATGGCCGAATGGTGGCGTGCAAAATCCATTAGCGTTCCGGGTGGACGCCATATGGCATCCTCCCGGGCATGCGCAATTTGCGCGCCTGCAGAGCTGCGCAATCTGTCACTGGCCATGTACCTTGGACACGGCTGATGACAGATCTGCGTACTGGCACCGTTGTCGATACCATGTGACCTGCTGTGACCAATCACAGCAGGTCACATGACAGTTGTATACAATGGATGGCTTCATTCATGCCATCCATTGTAGAAAAAGTGTGTGTAGCTGTGATTGGTCAGAGCAATCATGCACAAGCTGGGCTAATCACAGCCCAGCTGTGTCATTAGCTGTGGCCAAATCACAGCTAAGCAAAAAAAAAAAAAAAACCCCGAATCAATTGATGTCATTCAGGTAAATGCTTGTTTACAGCAAAGCAATTCTTTGATATAAGCAAATTGTGTAAAAAAAAAAAAAAAAAAAAAAAAAAAAAATTTAAATTTCTCATTTTCCAAAAAATGACAAAAAAAATTACAACTTCAAAAAACTCGCCATGCCTCTTATGAAGTACGTTGGACTGTCTACTTTACAAAAAGGGGTCATTTGGTGGATATCTGTACTGTTCTGACATTCTTGGCCATCAAAAAATTAGATTGGCTGTCAGTACTTCAGGATTGATCAATATTCAGATCTATACCATAGTTTGTGAACTCTATAACCTTCCTACAAACTACAAAATACATCCAAATTTGGGTTATTTTCAAAGACATGTAGCAGAATACATCTCGGCCTAAATTTATGAAGAACAATTATTTATTTGCAAAGATTTATAACAGAAACAAAGAAAAACGTGTTTGTTTTTCAAAATTTTCGGCCTTTTTGTTAATTTAGCAAAAAATAAAAACCCCAGTGGTGATTAAATAACACCAAAAGAAAGCTCTAGTTGTGTGAAGAAAATGATAAAATTTTAGTTTGGGTACAGTGTTGTATGACCGCGCAATTGTCATTCAAAGTGTGAGAGCGCTGAAACCTGAAAACTGGCCTGGGCAGGAAGGGGGTAAAAGTGCCCGGTATGGAAGAGGTTAAGAGCAATGTAGCTTATGAAATTGCCTTTTACTGTGCCATATATGACATCACAAGGACACTGACCAAATCCCCCTAGAATAGTAAACAAATGACACAGATCTCCAGAAATATATAATTCTCCCCCTGATGGAAGAACTCACCTTCCAGTAGTTCAATCTTCAGTCCCTGGCTGAGAATCTGGGCAGTGTTAAACCCGTGAGTAGGTGCTGAGCTTGATCTGGTGGTGTTAGTGCTTAGGGCATGAATTATACTGCTCTTCCCAGCTCCATCCAAACCTAGGACTAAAATCTGCCGATCCAAATAATTAGGCTGGAAACAAAGAAGAGACACACATCAGCATTGTGCAAGTCAAGAGGTACAACTACTTTATCTGCAAACGTAAACCTAAATTACATTTTTAAGAATAAGTAACTGCAACATTTGGGGTAAAAATACAGCTTCAACCAAACTAGGCAATTAAAGCGGCAATCCAGTCATTTTTGTGTTTATTAATAGTCAGCAGCTACAAACCCCCCCCCCCCCCCCCAAAAAAAAAAAACACAAAAAAAAAAAAAAAAAAAACTGTAGCTGCTGACTTTTAATAAATACAGACTCACCTGTCCTAGGGTCCAGCAATGTGCTCACCCTTGCCTTCCCTTCTCTCTCTTTTCTCCCTAGTATCGGCATCTCAACTGTGGGCACCAGGCTGTCGCAGCGTGTGGCTTTCCCAGCCGGATGCCTGTCAAAACCAGGTATGCACTCCCCAAAAGAAAGAAAGAAAAAAAAAAAAAAGTACTAAATATAACAGTGGAAGAGGAGGAGGCAAACAAGCAGAGCTTCCACTTTTGGGTGGAACTCTGCTTTAATAAAATTCTTTAAATGTGTTTTTACCTGCATTGCCCTACAGCATTTAATTTGATGCCAATGTCAAATACATTCACATCCATCACCAGGATAATTTATTGTATTCAAAACAGTGATTTATGGTGGCATACACGCTTCAATGGTATTATCCCATCGATGTGCGATTCCATCAAAACTATTAGATCGGCAAACAATTGATCAGGTTCAATTGGCCAGAGTAAATATTTATTGATTGTTCTCCATCAATCAGCAGCAGAGCTGCTGTGGTCATGAATTCGATCAACCAGGATTATGGTGTCGTATATTGAAAAACCATACTACCAACTGCTAACTACTACATTGTCAATTTACACAGTGCTCAGCATAAATGAGTACATCCCAACAGATTTGTCAGAAAACCTTCACTTTCCTTTCAGAATCCACTTTTTTTTTTTTTTTATAGGACACCATACTACAAAATACTCCCACAGAGATGCAGGCCATTGATTGCAAACACGATTTGTTAATTTGCACACACAAAAATGTATATTTCCTAACAGTCATTCAACACCATGTTGCAAAAATGAATACACCCCAATGAAAGTCTTAGGAGCAAAGCCAAATTTTAGACAAAAAAATTCTAATTAACAAGAATTCAACTACAGGCAAGTCTAATTATTCATTAAACCGGTGTCCAGCAGACAGTTGATTATAAAAGGGCGTTACTTAAAGAAAACCCCTTCCCCCATTTCATGCGGTCAGCAATGGCACCACATGGAAGAGAAATGACTTAAGGCCTGAGAAAGAATTTTTTTTAAACAAAAAAGATGCAGGCTACTTATCAGTCATAATACTGCAGCAAAAGTGATACAAACTTTTTACAAAGATGGAACTGCAACTATCTCACAGAGACATCCAGGCTGTCCATGGAAGTTAACACCTTGACAGGAGCGTCTTCTGTTGAGAAGGGTTGAAGAAAAAACATACACATTCACTGCAGTTAGCTAAAGAAGAAGAAAGCCAAACTGGGGTGATTGTTTCCCGTGACACAATATGGCATACACTGCAGAGGAATGGCATGCATGGGTGTTGTCCACGAAGGAAACCTCTCCTAAAGTCCATGCACAAAAAAAGCCCCCCTAGAATTTGCCAGGGCCCATGCTGAAAAGGAAGAAGACTACTGGGACTCTGTACTCTGCAGTAACGAGACCAAGATAAATGTTTTTTGGAACTGATGGCTTCAAAACTGTATGCCGTTGCAGAGGTGAGGAGTACCAAGAAAAATGCATGGTGCCTGCAGTGAAACATGGTGGTGACAGTGTCCTTCTGTGGGGCTACATGAGTGCAGCCGGTGTTGGGGAGCTGCATTTCATTGATGGTATCATGAATTCACAGATGTACTACTCTATATTGAAAGATGATGCTACCATTACTCCGTGCCCTTGGGCATCGTGCACTTTTCCAACATGACAATCCAAAACACACATCTAAGGCCAATGTTGCATTTCTGAAGAACAGGGTGAAAGTGATTCAGTGGCCAAGTATGTCTTCTGATTTGGACCCAATCGAACACCTATGGGGAATTCTGAAGAGACAAGTTGAGCATCACTCTCCATCCAGCATCCAGGCTCTAACAGAGGTCGTTCTTGAAGAATGGATAAAGATAGATGTTACAATATGTCACCAACTTGTTCATTCCATGCTTAGAAGACTTGGTGCTGTCCTTACAAATACAAAATACTAGATGTAATAGTTTTTGTTGTGGGGTGTATTCATTTTTGCAGCAACTAATTTGAGTAAAACTGAAGATTTTGTAATCTAATTTATATAATTAACCTTACTTTAATAAGCTAAACAAATGTTCTATAAAAGGCAGTTTTGTAAAAATTTTGGAAATGGTTCGTGTGTCCATTGAGATATTGATTAAAATCTTACTTTTCAAAAGACGTGTACTCATTCATGCTGAGCACTGTATATCTTGTACATTCACATCAGTCCCTGCCATCAAGGAGCTTACAATCCAAGGTCCCTAACTCACATTCATACATACCAGGGCCGATTTAGACAGGAGCTAGTTAACCTACCAGTTGGTATTTGGAGTGTGGAAGGAAACTAGAGTACCCGGAGGAAACCCATTCAAGTACAGGGAGAACATGCAAACTCCAGGCAGGTAGTGTCGTGGTTGGGATTTAAACTGATGAACCTAATGCTGCTAGGTGAAAGTGCTAACCACAGATCTGTTATTCCTATTGGGAGAAATGGATCTTCAATAAATTCTTTTCTGAGCATATGGCCACCTTAAGGGCTCTTTCACACAGAGCTGCTTTGCTCCATTCAGCAGGGCACTGTGTGGGTCTGTAGACAGATACAAGTCTATTTTCAGGCAGACATGATTGGAAGCTGTATACAGATTTATGGACAGTCTGATGTAAACAGGTGTGCCTGACTGTAAAGCCCATGTGAAGAGGGTCCTAAGCCCTTGTTCACACAGACTTCTCATGCGATTTGACAGTTTCAAATTGCATGATAAGTCGCACCCTATTGTCCACAATGGAACCGGTCAAATTGATGCAACTCCAATTTTATGGTGCTGCACAGATATAAAAAAGTTCCTACACTATTTTTGGTGATTTCAGTTGCAACTTGCATAGACATCTGTTTCCTGAAGTTGTACAGATGTCAGATAAGTCACACCTAAAGTCGCACTGACATGCAGCTGTGAAGTCACACAATTTCAAACTCTGATTCAATGCTTAGAGTAACAGATGTGCAGCCCAGTGGCTAAATGGTTAGCACTTCCAACACTCCCCTTTCCGGACAAGCACCCAATAGATGCTCATTGCACTGCAAGGTCTCTCTCCTCCCTGCTAGGTGCGGTGCTGGAGACATGCAGGGAGGGGAGGAGGAGATAAAACGGCGCAATGTTAAAAAAAATGTAAACGTTTAAGTCGCCATAAAGCTCCTTTTGATTTTAAAAGTCCCAGGCATTCCTAACAGCACCTCATATTTAAATATGCTTTTGGTTAAAATTGAATGTTGAACAAGTAGATTGTCATGCATGCGGGACAAGTAGATCGGGACACAGATTAATGCAGGCCATAGATGGGTCGAAAATCGGCTGATTTTTCTGCAAAAAAAATCTGCAGATTTTAACGGCAACGATGGGCAAATCGGCCAATCTCTTTACCGATAAAAAAATCTGCGCATGAGCCGTGACCTGGAAGAAAAAGAAAAAAAAAAAGAAAGAATTCCAGTCCGCTATTATATTTGACGTGAAAAAGTATTGCGGTTGCAACAATGTATCTATTTGTATCCGAATAAAAACATCTGTATCTTAAATGAATACAAATAGATACAATGTTGCAGCCGCTATACTTTTTAATGTCAAATATAATAGCGGAGCTCTCTGCAGGGCCAGAAGTAATTAAATGCCAGCCGTAGACAGGACGAAAAATCAGCTGATTTTTTTTTACCGTTGGCGGGAACGGCGGACTATTGAATGACCAATTTTTCGTTTTTTTTATTTAAAAAAACGGCTGGTTTTCGACCTGTCTATGGCCAGCATTAGTCCCTGGAAAAGTAGTTTTCAAACATTTCCACACCCCTGAAAGCGGATCTGTTGTTGCTTATTTCATTGTCAAAGGCTGCCCTTAGGTAACCCCATATGATGTTCTATTAAGTTTTACAACTCTACAATACACTCCATACTGTTTACATCACAGAGGAGAAAGTGCAAGGGTAACTATAGGTGGCTGTAGATTCCAGGAACACGGTATCTGATCATCTCATAACACTGCTGATTTAAGCTAAACATATACTAGAAGTTAGATTTTTTTTGTTTTAAGAATGTTTGTTCAATTTCCTAATCAGTGAGGTCAAATCAATTGACATTTGTTTTTGTGACAGAGAGGAGAAAATTGAAAAAATTAACAGGATGACATTTTTTCTTGAGGAATAGGTAGCAAGTCAGGTCAATAGTAAGTGGTTGCAAACATAGTTGGGGCAAACAGATCTATACTCAGTCAAAAGTTGAGAATCATGTGAGAAATGTAAAAAAAAAAAAAAAAAAAATGCACGAGGTGTGACCTGGAAAGAAAAGAAAATTCTTGGCCACAAATTTAAGTTTAAATTAAAGGCTTGGTTGGTCGAGTTTTGAAATAAATGGTGGCGCCATCGGATTACAAAAATCTCCAATTCTCTTAACGGAAATTAATTTGGAGTTTGGAATTGAACCCATGTATGGCCTGCATTAGTGTATAGTAGCTTATTTTATTCTGATATCACAAGTGAAGCTGAAATATTTGTCAGATTCACCCATTCCCTTCTATATAGTCCTTTTATGGCCAACAAAACCTAACAGTTAGTACCATTCAGCCACAAATGTATCTAATCTGCAGAGTTGAGAGCAGCCACCCACAAGTTACATTTTTAACTGTTCTAAATATTTCAGTTACTTTTTTCTTTAAGGCTGGATTCACACATGGGCG